CTCCTATGATGCTGCTTGGCCTGCTGTGTTCATCCAGCCCTGCACCTTGTTGTCTCAGATTCTCCAGCATCTGCAGTTCCTACTATCTCTGATTGAGTTTTGTACTACGTCAAGTTTCCAAGAAGGTACAATGTAGGACTCCAGATCGGAGTATATTAGAATGGTCATGCCTAAGGAAAACAAAATCATGAATGAGGTTTAAAACAACAGATAAGCTGAGGAAAAGGGTACAAAGGTAGGATTTTTGGGAGAGACGACTTTTAATCAGAGAAGTAAAGAGAGAGGGGCTGCACCTCATTAGAGTGAACTATTGAGAGTACCATACCTCCCATGCCCGTTCCATGTGCCCCATGTATTCTCCATGGATTTAGGAAATCAGTAGTTTAATGGAGTTAGGAGAGGGAGAGGGCAACGAGGCCTTGTGGTTAAAATGCACTCAGAGAGGATATGAGGGAAGCAATCCTCGGGTACAAGTTCAGGCTAGGTAGGGCGGATCCTTGGAAGAAGTTTTTCTAGTTGGATTATGGGAAGGGAATAAGGTAGCTCATCAGATTGTCTTGATTTTAGTGAGAAAGAAATCCATGAATCATTCCACACTGTTGGAATTGAGGGTGGAGGAAACAAGAGGGACTGAAGAAGACAGTTGCAGTTGAAAAAGACACTTGGGCAATCTTTGTACTGCAGTCTGATCCAAAACTCTGTAAAATTCATGCAATGCTACTATTGAGCTGATAGCTTTTGTGGCAAGATCAAGCTACAGTTTTGATCTTCATCAGTCTTTTGGCCTCAGTGGCCTGCATCATGGTCTGATCAGATACCTGCTGTTGGGTATCTGAAAGAGGAAAGGCACAGGGGTACATGTATTCACACTATCTACAGCTTGTTAATCAGAAGAGATTGGATGATAAGGTGAAGTAGGATGTGGGAAGGTGCTTTTGCTTGGAACATATCATCACCTTCCGTGGTTCAGCTTACAGCTTGTCACAGCTTCAGTTGTAGTCAATAGCAACCACTGAGTCATCGTCATGGCAAGGGACATGTAGCCATTCCTGCATCCTGCTACTTGTTGCTGCTGCCACCTCTTGTTATGTGCTGCTTTGTCCTGTGACAAAAAAAGGCATTGTGTCAGATTATGGTGTATTGTCTTTGGGTGATATGCTTGTTATCGTCATTGTGTGCAAGCTGTGAGGTATAGGTACAAGGCTTAAAGCAGTGACATGTAGGAGAGAATAAAAAGAAGATATGAACGCAGAGTAAGAATCATGGTTGATAGAGATTGATGGTAGTGAGTAAATGGTGGTGGGACGGGGAATGAATGGAGCAGGGTGCATGTGAAGTTGGTGGTTTATTTGTAGATGGATGGCATTTAAAGATGGCCTCACTGACCTTGATCACTCATGTTGTACATCTTTCAGCACTGCATCCTCAATGCCTGGCAATAACATTCACAATTGTCTTCTCAGTGGCTTTCTGGCCCAGTGGGACTTCTCTTCTCCTTTTGCCTGCACTAAGGCCATCAGAGACTTATTAGGAAAGCTTGGAGAATGATCTCTGCCTTGCAGGACCATCTTTGCTCCTCTTGTTGGTCAGGCTTTCTTCCTCAGCTCCTTCCTTGAGGTGATGCTAAACTTGAAGCATCGTTTGCTGAGGAGTCTGGTCACCACCAAGATGAACTGGATCCCCTACTTTACTCACCCATCCCCTCAAACTGTTGCAATGGGATCAATTTAAAAAGGATCCCTTCCCTTGTGGATACCTTACTCCCAGACCCAACCTAATTTATGGTTTTACAAGTAGCAAATTTAACCAGGCTTTCTTGCATATCATGTATTATGGTCCTTGTACCTAGTTTATCCAACATTTCTCCTATCAAATATGAAACCCAGGAAATTATGCTAAATCCATATAAAACACAAATTCCGCACCCAATTCTGCAGCCTACACTTTATGAAGGACATATAGATTTTGGGAGGCTAAGAGGAGATTTACTGAAATGTTTCCAACAATATAAGATAACACTTTGATAGATGGATTGGAAATTAACTGAAAGAATAAGTTTATTAATTGCTGCACACGAGAAAATATACTACTGCAACACCCATACACACAGATTAGATATAAGAGGTGGATCTTAAAAGATAAAAGTTTTAAAAAAAGCATCAGTCACTGAAATGTACCAAAGAGTGGATACTTGAATGCTGCGGTGCAGGTTACTGGCTACATTGATGTTTGTACATAAACAGTCACCTTCACGATCCTTAGTTCGGTAGATGATTAGGATTCTATAGTTCTGATCCTGAATTCTAGCATTCAGGTTGAGAAGAGAGTCTTTTGTTGCCTCATTTCCTTTTTAAACTGGTTTGCAGCACACGGAATTAGAAAGGGTCTTTACCTGCAACATAGAGGTAACTAGGGGACAGTTCTTCACCTATAGCTTCATGGCATGCTGACACTCAAACCTTGGCTGGTATGTGAGAGTGTTCAGTCCCACCAATCAACTCCAGTACAATTGAAACTGTCTTTACAACCCTTGTACTTGTGTATTCCTGCAGGGTAAAACAAATATGTCTGCTAGAGGTAGCTTTCTTCTGAGAGGGGCTTAGTTAACCACCTCATTATCTCTTCTTGCTAAGTCTCACCTTGTTTAAATTTCTGTGACAATTTACGTATACGAAAATATATTGGCCTCACACAGGCCTGTATCAGACAGTCTATGAATTTAAATCAACAGATTTCTGTAGAGATCCTCTTTTTAAAACAACATATTTTGGAATTAAAAGTGAAAAAAAGTCTTTGAGCTTCTGATTCAACATAATACTCATATTACATCTAACAGGTAAGGGTATATCATGCATTATGGTCCTTGTACCTAGTTTATCCAACATTTCTCCTATCAGATATAAAAGCCAGGAAATTATGCTAAATCTATATAAAACACAAATTCAATCCTAACCGGAATACTGTGCCCAATTCTGCAGCTTACACTTTATGAAGGACATATAGACTTTGGGAGGGTAAGAAGAGATTTACTGAAATGTTTCCAATAATATAGGATAACAGTTTGATAAATGGATTGGAAAAACAAGTACTTCATACATAAAAGGCTAAGAAGTATATAATTGAAATCAGGAGATTTAGAATCAATAAAGAGAAACTGTTTGCAATGAATGAAGACTCAATAATGAAGAATGTTTTTAAGTTGATTGATAAAAGAATTGGAGGTGACACGAGGAAAAACATTTTTGCACAACATGATTATGATTTAGATTCCCTGCTTGACTGAATGTAGATACAGATTCAGTGGTAACTTCTGGAAAGAATTGGACATATTGTTGAAAGGAGAAAAGTTTGCTGGGATATGGGGAAGTAAGGGGTACTGAGACAAACTAATTGCTGTTTAAAAGATTTAGCATAGTTGTGATGAGTTAATAATCCATTGTGTATTGTCCTGTTCTATTAGTGTATGTCCTTGTGCAGCACACTTTAAAATATAACACTCTAATAAACAGAAGAGTTCTTTAATTAATCTATTTTATATATACTGGGTTCTTCTGAGCAGATATTGTAAGTTTACAGTGACAACTTAACTGCTAGTGACTACAGGAGTTGACCCTGCAGGAGGTATTTCTATCTATATTGGTTAATTGTGATCATCTTTTTGCAAGGGGTACTTCACAGCCCTAAAGGAATATTGGCATGTTGCAGGTTACTCATGGAGGCTGAGTTTCACAAGCATTTCTGGAGCCTTTAGATAGTGATGATAGAGGCTTCAACTTTCCATCACATGGCTAAACAGGAATCTCTCACTAGCAGGTGTTGGAACATATGAACATACAAACAGGAAAAAGAGTAGGCCACTCGACCCTTCAAGCCTGTTCTGTCACTCAAAATGATTGTGGCTGATCTAATTGTAACCTTGAATCTACATTCCTGTATATTTCCAATAATTGTTCAACCCTTTGGTTATAAAGAATTGATCTAATGCTGCCTTAAAGCTATTTACAATTCTGCATCCACTGCTTTTCACAGAATCTCTAAAGTGTGGAAACAGGCCCTTCGGTCCAACAAGTCCATATTGAACCTCAGAGCATCCCACCCAGACCCATCCCCCTGTAACCCACCTAATCTACACATCCCTGAACACTCTGGGCAATTTAGCATAGCCAACTCACCTAACCTGCACATCTTTGGACTGTGGGAGGAAACCGGAGCACCCGGAGGAAACCCACGCAGACACAGGGAGAATGTGCAAACTCCACACAAACAGTCACCCGAGGGTGGAATCGAACCCGGGTCCCTGGTGCTGTGAGGCAGCAGTGCTAACCACTGAGCCACCGTGAGGGAATTCCAAAGTCTCACAACCCTCTGAGAGAAAAATTATTTCCTCATCTCTGTCTTAAATAGGTAACCCCTTATTTTTAAACAATGGCCTCTGGCTCTATAATGGACTTATCAGTTGATAATCAACACCTTTTGGCCAAGTTATAAAAAGACTGTCTTTGGCCATCGAGTCTTTGAACCCAGACATGTTGGCTCAAAGGTGGAAACCCACAGAGTGCACCCCAAGACCCCCTTAAAGGCAGAGGCTAGATTAAATACAACTCCACCCTGGTAACTAACCATCTATGTTTCAGAATCTAGACATGAACAATACAGCAATTATTTATTTGTTATCTGACTTGCCTTTCAATATTCTAAATTCTCTTGCCCACTTTCTTCTTTAAACAATGTCACCAAACTTATTACTCTCCATGCATAGGATGTTACAAGTTGAGTAAACATCTTCAAATTTCACTTAAAAGGAATGAGACCCATGGTTAATTCAGCATGAACTGAAGTGGGGGATGGGTTTACAGGCTGGAGTGATTTAGAGGCAGGATGTCTCATCTGTTAATCTTTGCTTCCTTGTTCAATCATCCCATGTATAAACAGACTTTTTGAATCTTAATTCTTTATTATACCCACTATATCCCATCAGCCACAAAGGGTCACCTCCAATTTATAATTTACACTGAGATACAAACACAAAGATAGCGCAAAGAGTGAAATATGGTGTCAGGCATATATCTTCTCACATTTCACAGAGCTAAGAGACAAACACACTGACCTGTTGCCATGGAAAGTTTTCTTTCGAGATCAACACTTGGACTGAGGAAGCAATAGGGTTTTGCACAGTTTGATATCCACAAGCCAACGAGAACATTCTGTGAAAAGCTTATAAAAGAAGTCAGTCAGCCTAGAGACTTAATACTGCAGGATGCATTATTTGTCTGATCAAATCTAAATTATTTGCAGCCATTACCTGTGTTTGCTGTTTCGACTGTGAGGTCTATTTATATCTTTTGCTCTTTATTTAACTGCGAGATATTTCAAATTGTTTGTACAAATTTCTGTTATGAATTCCTCTCCAACTAATTCATGGATAATGGGATAAATATGCTCACTCATTTGGTGTAACATAAATGATAAGTTGTGAGCGTAGAATGACCTTTTCCCCTTCATAATCCAATTTCAGCTCAGAATTACTTCAAATCCTCTGAGGGCTGGAGTTTGTTCATTCTCCCACAGAGCTGAGGTTCCCTTCAGCACAGCTGGCAGGAGTTATTAGTTATAACAATATCTCAGGAGGAAGGGTTTGAGGCTTGAAAGAGGCCATTGTCTGGGCTTATATGAAGGCAGATTCATTATGCTTTGCAGAACACAATTTAGAGCCCGGAATTAGGAGACCTCCTTGTGATTAAAGAAAAGAGCAGACCCTGGAACTGAAATACTCCTCATTTAAATCAGAGGAGAAGCTGTAGTAAAGCCTGAAAGCAACGTAAGAATGAAAATAACACCAATTGAAAAGTTTTAAATAGTTGTGAGTCAGTAACCTTGACTATTGTCATTTAGAAGCTGATTTAAGGAAAACTTTTTTCACATAGGCCCTTCACAGGTGGCCATTCTACTGATCCAAACCTTCCCCCTGTGCTTGTATTACTGCTTAAAAGAATAATTATTAATTCAAGCTACAGAACAATAGACAAAGAATCACATGTGAAGCAGACACTGTGTTTTGCAACATTTATCATGAAATTTAATGTAAGGAACACATAAATCACATTTTCCTTACTTTGTTAATTTGCAACATTTAGCAAATATCAGCCTTTAAGGAAATTGTGCTATGGTGAAAGAATTTGCTTATCACAAATTAGCAAGTTAATTTTTTTAATAGTATTTGCAACATTTTTCTCTCTAGAATTCCTACTCCAGCTGCTGCAACACCACTATTAATTAGAACCCTTCCTTGAGAGAAAGGGTTTCCCAACTGAGATCACAGACAAACAACTGATGACAATACCACTCAATAGGAGATTATAGGACCGCTCTGGACTGACTCACTTTCTGTTTTCCCACTCGCTTTGGGAATGCTTCTCTTCTATATAACACCTCTGATGACAACTATCTTTAAAATTCAGCACAGACAATACTGCGAATCAACAGACTATAGACTCTGTCTGCGCACTCTGTGCTGTAGCTTGTCAGAGCAATTATGTATCATACCACAAGAAATGCAAAGTTAAGCATTCAAATCAATGGGCATACAAATAGACCTAATGCAACGTGTCATTAATTTAACAGCTTTAACATTTCTCTTCACCATTTCTATGGGAGATTTTGCCACTTTTATTTGATATGATACTTTTATTTGTGTCAATGGTTTATTTCTGTATTCCATTGTCCGGGGACATCACACAATTTAATAGCATTCAAACCTAGAAAAAAAAGCTTGGATTGATATAGGGCCTTTCACTATCTCAACTCCTTTACAGCCAAGTTATTGTTGAAATGTATTCACTGGATTAATGAACAAAACAGGGCAGCAATTAGATACAGCAAACTCACTCAAAAACAATGTGATAATGAATTGATAATCTGTTCTAAGTGATATTGATTGAAAGACAGATATTGTCCAGAACAATGGAATAGCTTCCTTGTTATCCCTTAAAATAGTGTCATGGCATTAATCAAGATTTTGGCTAAACATCTCACCACCTTCAGCAATTCAGCACTTCCTCAGGACAAACACTGGAGTATTAGCCTAAATTTTTATTCTCAAGTTTCTGGAGCAGGAACTTGAAACAACACACTTCAACCTCACAAGCATGTGTGCTCTCAGCTGCACCACAGTTGAGTAAGAAATGACATTTTCAAAAATGCATCCTTAGGCTGTTGGTGCTTTAAAAGTCATCTTCACTTGTACTCAGGGTCATAGTGGTTTTGCAATGCTGTAGCTCTTGTAGTGGTAATATTTCATGTGAATTCTATCATGGTGGTCCAGTGATGTTAAAGAACTAGCCACATACGTCAAAGTTAGCATTCTGTGTGATTTGCAGTGGAACTTTATTTCCTTTATATGCAACATTAAGTATATTTATATCAGTTCAAACATCCATTTTGCCTCATCCTTATCATTGCAAAAAAAAACTTATCTGCGTTTCTTGTCCCTTCTAAACTTTATTTGTTCGAAAGCCCTGCACAGGCCTCTCAATTGCAACCCTACATTGACTCCAAACTGTCCAAACTCAATCACTTACATTCCATCCTCAACTATGTTTATATAACTCCTGTCATGACTGGCCCGATTCTTGAGCCACTTCAGTTACGTGGGTAGATTGGAGAAGCGGAGTCAGTTTGTTCCTTAGAGAAGGGAAGGTTGAGAGGAGATGCATATGTTCAAATCATGAGGATTCCAAAATAGAGTAGACAAAGAGAAACTGCTCTCCTTGGTGGATGGCTCAAGTACCAAAGAACAATGATTAAAGTTTAATGGCAAGCAACAGAAACAAAAAAAAGCTTTTCTTAGAGTGTGTGTTGGTAGGATTGGAAATGCATTGCCTGTGATTTATTGGAGGAAGGCTCAATCGTGCCTGCCAAAATGTTTTTGAGTAATTATCTAAAGCGAAAAATATTGCAGGGGGCAAGGTGGGGAATGGCTTTGGATGAGTTGCTATTGCACACCATGGGACATCATGGCCCCATTCTGTGCGGTAACCATTTTATGATGATATCAGAGGACCAAACTGAAGCGCTGGCGATTGGATTTGTGCCTTAGTTCAGCTGACAGTTAATTTCTGGGTATTTTTTAAATATTGACTTAACTATACTGATCAGATAATGTAAGGAATACAATTATAGGATAAAACTTATCTATCAAATGGATTTTCCCCTATTCTTTGATCCATTCTTTCTCCTCTTGAAGGTGCTGACTCTTCTGGTATATGCTGCCAAGAGCACAGAATGGCTTCAGCACCTTGCTCAAATGATAATTCTTCATGTGGGAGGCTAGGCAATGTATAGCCTAATTAACTGAAGCAACTTCCAGTGCCATTTCTGATCCATGTGATGTCCAGTAGGATCACCTGAAAAGATATGAGGAATGAGAGTACAGCTTGCTTTGTTCCTTCCCTAATCCAAAGGTATTGAGAGGCTAATTTGTAGATTCCTCCATTCCACTCGCATGCTCCCTTCCCTTCATTCCACCACCTCCCTCCCCACTCCCAAGAATACCTACCAAACTGATAGCCAGTTAAAATACGCTTATTCAGTAAAAATCAGAGATTGAATCAGGTTGTTCTTTGGAATTAAATCATACTACATTTTGTTTTCAGCAAATTGTCTTTCCCACATGAAGCATTAACCAAGAATATACATCATCAGGAAGATGGATTAATTTGCTAAAATCTAGATCATTTGCTGTTCCCATTCTAGAGTTTGGCTAAGTAACCTGTCTAAGGCAACAATGAAGTCCATACTTTACTTATACTAATCCTCTATGGATTAAATGTATTTATTTCCCTCCCACCTCCCCTATACATGGATATTTATCAGCATGGGTGTGTGTTTCAAGTCCTGAGGGAAATCTCATAACTGAAGTAATTGAATCTGTCTTTGTTTCTTTAAGAAGTGATTTCCCTCTGTTGAAAAGCATACAGTAAAATCACTCGTCCATGAGTGACTGATCGAACCCCTGTTTGCACCTTAGTCGTGAGATTAAAATAGCTTTGGGTTTCTGTTAGCGTGTTTCTTGAATGATTATTAACAGCAGTTTTGATCATTAAAGGAAGGACTGGTAAGGGGGCCATAACAGATTATCCTGTCAATGATTTGTTACACAAATCACCATCGTGACATTAATCATAGGCAGTTATTTGTACTTGTTCCTTCTGCCTCTTTCTCTACATTATCTTAAAATGGAATTGCTTTGCTTATAAACAGAAAGAAAAGAATGCTCTCAGAAGTTACTCGAGGAGGTAAACCTACACATCAATGCAGAGCATATCAGAATAAAACATGGGGTTCAGGAATGAAGTTCTTGGAAGAGCAAAAATGTGAAAAGAGTATAGACAGGAAACATTAAGTATAAACATGCAGCAATGAATGAGATTTATGTGGCACTATTGTAATTGATTACAGTCCATAACATTCAACTTAGCACGTATTCCTTTGGGATGGGAAAATTCATTCAGGGATTCCTTCTGTGTTTATTCCAATGACTTGCTAGAAAGTGTACAATTTTTGATGTCGCATAAGGACAACATCAGAGTTACTTATGCTCCCTTTTATGGGTTGATAGTCTAATCTTCGCTAAAGAATGGGCTGCAGGGCTTCAAACAATTGTGGAATTGCAATGCTGCAAAACTCAGTTCCTTTGCAGAAGGTTGAAAGAAAAGATAAATTGTCCATTTTAAATAGTTATAAAAATATATCACCTGGCCTGCAAGTGTACTGCAAGGACAATCTTCCAACTTCCCCGTGAATACAAATCCCATTGTTAACGTCACTTGTGGGTGTAAATCCAGCTGACAGCAGGATTGCAAGTTGCTCCAGAAGAATAATACACACCATTTAATATGAAACATATTAGTTAAACAGTCTTTTTTTTAGAAAACTGTCTTCGATTACGCAAAATGGAAAAGCAAATGACCCCTAACTCAAGGGTCAAACCCTCATTACACTGACAAAAATCTTCTGTACATCTCTGTCACCGCCAGACCTTGTGGCTTTCGTTTCGGAAAGTGTCACACACATAGAGTTTGAAAAGCAAACAGATACAATAAAAATCAATAACATTCAGCAAAAATAGGTAATCTTGCTCAGAGGCTTAAAGGGGGGTGCTGTTGTGTTGCTTAAAACATTGATTACTGGTACAATGAAAGAAAATATAATGCCAGTGTTAGGTTTGAGGCACATTGGTCCAGTTGAAAAAACTGCTATTTTGCACCTATCCATGGCTTTTTTGACATTGAAAGCCTGAGCCAAAAATTTGTTCTGTTCTATTACTCAGCATTAAAATGTATTTTCTTGATGAAAGGGGAGAAATAATCAAAAAAGAAGAAAAGAGGGAAGCTTCATCTTGGGTAATCCTGCAGATATGAGAATAACAACAAAATTAGCTACGTCAGAATCTCATGAAGAGTATTTTCAGGAATCCTTCTCCTTGATAGAGATCTCTGAATTCACAACACCTCTTTTGTTTAAGGTACAGGAGGAAGGAGGTGGTTACTCATGGAGAGATAATATAACCGATAAGTTCCCTGACAGAAAATAGACATCCTGAAACAAAAAAGGTTTTTGTCTGACAAGTGTTAAATGAAAAATAATGATGAATGTATGCTTCAGTTTGGAGCTTCTCTTTGTTCTACATCAGAGTGTTTCCTGAAATATTGAAGGGTCCTGAAGGGTCCACCTTCTGCAGATGCAAATATGACTGAGTGGAACCCCTGCTCCCCAGTCTCTCTCATGCCCGTAGCCAGCATTACCAATCTGTACGCATGGTTGTATACATGGCTGGAATGGGCAGATCATCAATGCTGTATCACTGATGTTGATCCCACAAGTTAGCTAGAATGTTGATGCAACAATTCACTGCATTTACTTTCACAAATATTACTCTGAACAGAGCACATGGAGCCACTTGCAGACAATAATTACTGTGGCAGGTTCGCTCAGATGGTTAGGTCATGGTGGTGCTAATAGTGCTGAGGTCATGGGTTCAGTCCCCATACTGGCCAGTGCTGCTGGCTTCCAACCAAGGCTTTTGGCTCAGTAAGCTTAGCACAGTTAGGAAGGAGAGATCATAACTGGAATGAGACACAGACCAAGTGAATATATGGTTCAGGAAATTTGAAGGCAATGTGGTAATATGGTGCAGAGGGAAGGGGTAATTTTTGCTTGCTTTTCTTTTGGCTCATAGTTTGGAGGGTTTTTGTTAAACAGGATAAAATGAAGCCCAGGATTATGTGTCCAGCGCAAAAGAGTCACATCACAGGTAAACCGTAAGTTCATTGGTTGGTGACAGCTATTAATTTGACAATATATTATAGGCTACTTTCAGATTGAAGGCTACAAATTAAAATACCAGTACAAATTTCTTTTAATAAAACTAAGAATTAAGTAATTAAAATAAGAGATGCAGGCAATGTATTGTACCTGCATGTTGGGGGAGCTGGTGGACCCTGTTGTGATTCACAGAGACCACATCTGTAGCAAGTGCTGGTTGCTTCAGGAACTCCAGCTCAGAGTTGACAAGCTGGAGTCTGAGCTTCAAACACCGTAACATGTCAGGGAGGGTGACAGTTATGTAGATGCTGTGTTTCAGGAGACAGTCATACCCACTAGATTAGCTACCTCAAATACGGTCAGTGATCAGGGACAGGAGAGTACAGCTATGGGTGAGACAAATAGAGAGATCCAGGAGGTAATGCTGAAGAAGCCACAGCCCTTGAGCTTATCTAACAGTTTTCAGATTCTTGCTCCCTGTGTGGATGAGGGCGTTGGCTGCAGGGAGGTTGAGCAAACTGGCCATAGCACCATGGTACAGGGAGCCATTCAGGAGGGGGGAGAAAAGAGAAATGTAGTTGTAATTGGGAATGGTATAGTGAGGGGGATTGACACTGTTCTCTGAGGCCAGGATAAAGAGTCCTGAAGGCTGTGTTGCCTGTCTGGTGCCCAGGTTCAGGAAGTGTCAGAGATAATAAGAACTGCCGATGCTGGAGTCAGAGGTAACAC